TGTGGAGGGGAAAAAAAAAAAAAAAAAAGGAAAAAAAGTCCTTTGTTAGCACAGTCTTTACTTAAAAGTTCCCACCTGATTCTGTATTGGGCTCTACCAAGGATGGAGAAAGACTGACAAACCACTTAATAGCAAGGACCTGAATATAAAAAAAGCGTAATTGTACCTTCTTCCAATGCTCACTACCTGAGAATTCGAGGTAACAGACTCCACAAGCCTGTCAGACGTGTTTTCCATTGTACACGCTTGGTTCTTAACATGACGGAGTTAAGAGCAATCTCTCTGTTTACCTTCAAAATATCTGGTGTTTAGGATCCAGAATATCTATACAACTACCAAAAGCTAAGGAAGAAAATAGATGGTCATAACTCTGCCCTGCTGGAATTGCTCTCTGCCATTAAGGTAGCGTCCACCATACCAACTAGCATCACAGTGTCTTCTCTAGCAGCCTGCTGGGATCAGTGTTTTGTCTCTTCTTTGCTCTTTACACCATAACCCCCTTGAGGCAAGGGCTGTTTTTTAGGAATTCTTTGTTCATTGCTTATATTGTTCTTTCCACACAGTCCTGGTCTGAGACAGAGCTTCTAGGCACTGCAAAAATACACACAATAATAATTTCTTGGGGCCAGTCCTAGACTGTGCAGCCCTACTCCCATCACAAATCTCAGCCTCTTCCAAATGTAAGTCATACCCTTGGCCCGTCTTCTAATACAAAAACCATGAACAACCCTTTCCTCCACAGCAAAACAGAGCATTACACAGCACACATAATTCAACAAACATGACAGGCTGTCAAACAGCGCAACTACTATCTACTACCCTGACGAAGACAACTTTAGATCCACTTCAGATTGCAAAAAGGAAAATAACGCAAGTCTTTCAAAGTTAGATCATGAGCACGGATATTTAAGGTTACAAATGCCACAGTATGTTCTCAAATGCCAAAGATGTTATTTGAAAAATGACAAAGAGCCTGCTGTTGCGTTTCAGTTGCTACGGATGAGATCCCATCAGCAAGGCCAGACCTGGAGAGATGGTGGGATGACTGACAGTGCACGGAGAACAGTTGCCGGAGGCAGCGTCACAGTGGTGGGGTTTTTCACCTTTTACCGGGAAAGCACCCCAGACAAAAGTGAGAACGTTCTCATGGGACATTTAACTAATACCCATGTCACGCAGGGCAAAGACTGCAATTGCTTTTAACCAATAACTAGAATTATCTGCTTCGGCATCCTCGGGAGCCTGCAGGCTCATAATTGTTCTAAAACACTGTGAGACACTGCCGTACGTTACTCGGATGCTGGTGCCTTTAAGGGGGAGCCATCTGTCAGTGGCAGGGGGGGGGGAAAGAAAAGCTGACTAACCGGGCAAAAATTTTAAAAAAAAAAAAAAAAAAATAAAATAAAATCAGACCCAAATCACAAGTCCGTGAAGTTACACAGCTGTTGGCTCAGATATTCAAAATTCTGAGAAAAAGCTAGTACAAAAAGTACACACCTGAACCCAGCAGCCTGACTAGGCATTTACGTGCAGATGGCAAGTTCTGAGCTTCACTCACTTTGCTGTTCTTTCAAAGAAAAAAAAAAAATAAGTTAAAACCACATAATTTTCACGATCTGCTTACCTTCGAGTTTATCCTCTCTCACTACTGCAACCTTGTGGCACTGTAAAAAAATAAATTGCAATCTTAAGATTTGAAAAGATCTGTTGTACACAAGACTGATATTTTCAGTTATCTATCGAGTAAGAAAGTCTCCCGATTATAGGTGCAGCTTTATGGCTGCAAAGAACACTGCCAATGCCTTTAAAGTCATCAGCCATCAGTTTTTAAAGCTCTGTCGTCCTACTTTTCTAACAGACTGTTTCACAAGTCACTACAACCCTAAGAAATCCTCCGCCCTCCATCCCTGACACTGGGAGATAAGACACAGATGAAATGAGAAATTAAACATCTGCACAGCATGGTAGGGAAAAGCAAACTAACGCAGCTGATGACCCGGCTGCTAGGAGTCTGCCGCGCTAGCCCACATCACCCGTGTATATTTAGGTCGCCAGGGAACTCTAAGGTATAAATCTGTAGTGCAAACACAGAACCAGAAGCAAACCCATGAGAAATTCAGCATTAATTTAAACGCTAGAAATGAATGTTTCTGGAAGCATGCTCTACAGCCACTCCTCAAGGACTATACCTGCTCTACGACATTTAACAGGCTGTAGTTAATAATGAGAGAATCCAAAGAGACAGACTGGGCAAAATCCAACCATTAATTTTGTGTTTAACCAATACCACTGACTTGCCAGCAAAAGAGTAAGAGGCAAGAAAATGTAGGCAAACCAAAACAGTAAGGGAAGACAGAGAGTCTCGGTCACTCACTGAGGTGGATAAAAAAGTTGCAAGTAAAGAGCATGCTGTGCTTAACGCACGACGAGAATTATTTGTGACAGATTTTTATCTGTCTCTCCCTTCAAACAAGTCTTGCAGTTGAATCCACAGCCTTGTGGCTACACCTACTGACAGCAGACAGTAGTGCAGGGTTACCAGCAAGCCCAGGGTTGCATCTGAAGCACTCTCATCCCTTCCCTACCCAAAATTGACTTGCGCCAGATAACACCCACCAGCTACTCCAATGCCTGCACGTCTCCTGGAAGTATCTTCCAGATCTGACCTCAGATGCCCGATCTGAGGAGCTTTAAACTCCTCCTGTGTGGCATTCCTAAGCCTGGCATTGCTTCCTCTCTGCCCCTAACAACTTACTGCACCTGCAGGTCACCTTTCTTAGCAGGCACTGCAGTATTAAAAAATAAGATATTTAAAAATAAACAAACTGAAAGAATTGCCCTTTATATATTTACTTTAGCAGATCTTTCTCGTTTTACAAATATATAAGCTGCTGAGACAGTTTAAAAAAAAATTTGTCTGTATCCTATGTCAGAATTCACTTGTTTGTTTTAAATACATTATGGCAAATTTTAAAATATTACAATACGTGGACAAATCTCTCACTAATTCTAGTGAGCCAAGAGATGCTACCTTATTATTTCCAAAAGAAATTGTGGGGAAACCTATTAAACTCAGGCTATAAATGTGACACAGCTTTAAACAAATATATGCCATTGTACAGATCCAATGCAACAAATAATTACCTTCAATTTTAGGCAAATTTGGAGATGTAAAGAGAATATTCTATGCATATGAACCAGTTTATCATTTAGGAAAAAAAAAAAAAAACCAAAACAAACCAAAAAAGCTTTGTTCTTTTCTTTTCCAATCTACAAATAAAAGCCAAGACACCCCGAGATGTACTAATTCTAAATGCAGACTGTGGATTGCATTGTGTGAGATATTTGGGTATCTAAAGATACGAACAGACACCTAGTGGAATGTCAAAGGCGCTTAGCGTTTGGCTATTCAATTCTTCTGAGAGCAAAAGGAAACAGGCACTCAATTCGCTCATCTCCTTTCAAAAACTCCTGGGTTACCTGTCTGAAATTTTAGAAGATGTTCTTGAAAATCTGACAAGCAGCAACGAGAAAACGCAAATACTTTAACTACAAGTAGTGATTCCTTTGCTTAATAATTCACTGCATTTTAAATACAAATTACAACTAATAAATTTATGTTTCTGTTGTATATCAGGACAAAAAAGTTGCTTTATTTTACAAGAGAACTTCAACTATTTAGTTATTATTCTACTTATCATTATTCTAACTGAATTCCAAGCTTTCTCCAAACTTTTCTCTCCACTCTGCAGCGGATCCTGGGAAGCAGATTAGCTGAGCTCACAAGGGTCCCTCCAGAGTGTTTTAGAAAATTTGCTGTCCAATATCAGCGACAGGATTGAGAGATGACTGGTAACAGGATTTAAGTTAATTAAATAAAACCCCCAGTGCATTATTCAGCACTGTAGTACCAAATCATGACGAACTGATCTTTCTTCCCCATCATTCATATGCTGGGACAGAGATAGCACCTTAATTTGCACACATACAGAAGACCCAGCACACTGTGCCTGTTACTGGAAAAAGAGAGTGAGTTCAGCTTTTGACCCAAAGATTACAAAACAAGATGGAAGAGACAAGAACAAAGAGCTCACAGACACCTTTGGGAAATAAAACACTCACAACTTGTCCATTCTGCATGAGGTTTCCTGCTACTAAGTAGGTGACGTGAAGCTGCGCTCCCGAATTCTCCTTTCGTTTCCTCTCCACGTAATCATACAGCATCCTGCACAAAAGAAGCCAGTGTTAATCACCTCGAAAGGAAAGAGCTCGTCACCGCCTCTTCCGTGAAGCTTCACAAAAAGAGCAAAGCCAGCCTGACATGGAAACATTTCACAGAAGCACAGTTATTTTAACCAGGATTAAATTAATCTTACTGAGAAACCCTTCTCCTCTGTCACTTTGAAGAATCTCAGCCCAACAACTGTATAAACCAAAGGCAAAATGAATACAAGCTCTCAAAGCTTTAACAGTTGGTTGCAGATGGTCTCAGGCCCTCTGGGCAGCTTGTTCCAAAGGCTCCCCTTGAGAAGGCAGTCTCTCTTGTTACAACCCAGCATTCTGAAACACCTGACAGAGGAACCGGTGATTTTTGGTACATGATCACATTGCCAGGTGGATATATACAACCCTAGTTACATCCACTGGCAGAGTGATCAGAAACAGGAGGAAAGAGCATGATGAGTGATGACAAGATTGAGCTGAGACTGAAGCTTTCAGCTCCCACTTATACCGCTGATTTACGATGAGTGCCCCACGTAACTGGGCAGAGACGCCACTGCACACTCCACGAGAACGCTATCTGGTAAAAAACCTTGAAGATCCTTATTGCCACAGAGACAGACTGCAATCACCATGCTGCCACAGCCAGCAAAACTCACTAAAACAATTCCCTTGCGTTATCGGGCACTTCTGCAGCTCCTAGGAAAGAGCTTCAAGCACAAAGATGCCACAGGAGTTCTCCATCTCCAGGTTGCTTTCAAGGGTAAGAGAAGGTGCCTCCATTTCACCTGGGCCATCTCCTTCATGGTGAGTTCTCTGGCTCCTTCTAGTTTACCGCATGACCAGAACTGTTCCCGGCAGAGCTCTCCAGTCATGTCTACACCATCACTGAAGCACACTGCGATTTACACATCATCTGAATCGTTCACACACATGCAGAGGAAAGAGACCAAACAATCTCTTCGTTACACGAGATGCCTGAGTTGATATTCTAGTAGTTTGGACAAGACAGGTGAAGCTGGGCTCAGTACATCACAGCTGAGTATGCAACAAATGCCCCTTTAGCACATAGAATCATAGAATCACTTTGGGTGGAGAAGACCTTTGAGATCATAGAGTCCAACCTTTAACCTAACCCTGCCATCCCACCACTAAACCCTGTCCCTCAGCACCTCATTTATCCTTCTTTCAAATACCTCCAGGGATGGGGACTCGACCACCTCCCTGGGCAGCCCATTCCAGAGCCTGACAGCCCCAAGGGGAAGAAGTTTTTCCTAATGTCTAGCCTAAACCTGCCCTGGCGCAGCTTCAAACCATTCCCCTCGTCCCATCATCTGTTACCAGGGAGCAGAGCCCGACCCCCCCCTCCCTACCCCCTCCTCTCAGGCAGTTGTAGGGGGCGATCAGGTCTCCCCGCAGCCTCCTCTGCTCCAGACTAAATACCCCCAGTTCCCCCAGCTGCTCCTCGTATGACTTGTGTTCCAGACCCCTCCCCAGCTTGGTTGCTCTCCTCTGGACATGTTCCAGCAACGCAACATCTTTCTTGTAGTGAGGGGCCCCAAACTGAACACAGCACCAAGCTATATCCAGAAACAAGGAGAGAAAATATTTGTATTATGGGACTTAACATTCTTATGCAAACTCCAAATCTGATGCTTAACTTTACCTTGCTGTGTAGCAACAGCCCCGGAATACGTGGGAGCTCATTCTTTGTTTTACAGGATATTTAAAAGGCTACAATAATTCTTATTCTTCAAAATACACCAAGACAACGTTACGCATTTATAAAATCACAGAATTATTAGGGTTGGAAATGACCTCCAAGATGATCAAGTCCAACCATTAACCCAACACCACCATGCCTACTAAACCATGTCCCAACGTGCCATGGCTACACATTTTTTGAACACCTCCAGCGACTGTGACTCCACCACCTCTCTGGGCAGCCCCTCCCAGTGCCCGACAGCCCCAAGGGGAAGGAATTGTTCCCCATGCCCAACCTCCCCCTGCCCTGGCACAACTTGAGGCCGCTGCCCCTCGTCCCATCGCCCCTTCCCTGGGAGCAGAGCCCAACCCCCCCGGCTCCCCCCTCCTCTCAGGCAGTTGTAGGGGGCGATGAGGGCTCCCCTCAGCCTCCTCTGCTCCAGGCTGAACCCCCCCAGCTCCCCCAGCCGCTCCCCAGCAGCCTGGGGCTCCAGACCCCTCCCCAGCTCCGCTGCCCTTCTCTGGACACGCTCCAGACCCCCCAGGTCCTTCGGGGAGGGAGGGGCCCAACCCTGACCCCAGCACTCGAGGGGCGGCCCCCCCAGTGCCCAGCACAGGGGCACGGTCCCTGCCCTGCTCCTGCTGGCCACACCACTCCTGATACAAGCCAGGAGTTTTACTCCATTTATACTAAGTTTAAGCCATTTATACTAAGTTTGTAGAAGTAGAAGTACCGCAGCACAGCTGACTTTGCCTCCTTCAAGTATTTACCTGTGCCCATCAGGCACGGTACATAGATATTAATAACGCATCACGCTCTACGCAGCAGATCGGAGCGGATGAGCATTAGCCATACACGTGAGTTGGTTTGCATTTTCCCGACTCTGGTCCCAGCAATACCCACGGATAACATACAGCATCCTAAGCGGGGATATGCAGCGGCAGATTATCACAAAGGCATAGCTCTGCTTGCAGGACTGGAGCCAAATTTGGAAAACACATCCTCATTTCAGGATGAAAGGAGCTATATACATTTCTGTTGTAATATAATGCTAAAACATCTACGTATTTATGATATAAAGCAGCATGTGGTGTCCAGCTGAGCTGAGCACTGGTCTCTAAAGCGTAAGTCCCACTGACTCAAGGCTAGATCTGCCTTCAGGAGGAGTAAGGCATCCCGAATAACATGACTGACTGTACCTGAGAAGACACACGGGATTTTTAAATATTTCCAGAGAGGTAATTTTAATACACTAACCACAATCTTAGAAACGGTAATTAACAAGGTTTTGCCACAAAACAAAAAGTTTGTGGGATGTGCTGATACCTACTGTTTAGCCTGGTTGACGTGAACTCCCAGAGTATAGCTTAGCCATTTGTATGTTACCTGTAACAAGAAAAAAAACACAAACCACTTTAGTAAGAAAACCTCAGTCGCTTGACTTCTTAAACCTCCCATCCTTTGCTTGTTTCATGGGCAAGTCAAACTCTTTAGACACCCCCACCCCACTCCAAGAAACACCCAGCAAAACCTGTTAGAAGTGAGAGCATGGGGACACCCACCCGCGCTTTAACCAGTAGATTGAATTCCTGAGACCTGAACAAACTACCCACCCCAAAAGGTGTGGTTTTGGGAACGCCTTCTTGAAATGCCATTGCATGAATAAAAAGCATTCAAAACACCGTGCTGCTTAGCTTCACACCAGGGAGAAAAAAAAAAAAAAAAGAAAAAAAGAAACAGCACAATTTTCAAGTGTGAGAAGCTCGTATTTCTCTCCCAAACAACTACAGAGGATTTATTGGATTTCTGCCACCCTCGCTTGCCACAGGGATCTCTGGCTGCATCACAAGTCCGGCAGCACAGCGTGCGAAACCTCAGGAGACTACAGCTCTAAACCCAGCCCTGCCACTGATTTGCTGTATTATTTAGGCAAGGCATGTTTTTTATACTCCTTTCTCCTCCCGCTCTGCCTTTTTAAACTAATCCTCAGGCTAGGGTGTCTCCTGTCTCAAATACAACAGTTAAATTATATTTTATTACTCTAGCAGTTTATTGAAATAAAGTATAATGACCTCAGCAGCTCACGTTAATACAACCGCTTTGAAAGACAAAATGCACCAAGTTCACCGTACCACTTCCTAAGCAAAAATCTGTATTTTGAAAGGAAGCACAGACACACACGCTTACCGTTTTTCTGAACTGCCCTAAAAAAAAAGCAAGACCTCAAGAGGCTACAGACGATAAGCAGTAATTGTACTTCTAAGCTGAAACAGCGGTCCAGACTGCTTCAACCTTTCATGGAAAAACCCCACTACTTCTGTCATTTATACCTTGAGCTGAAAGACTGCTGTGGCTACAGTGCTTTCTTTTTGAGGAAAAAGAACTCACCTATTAGGGAGCGTAAGGAATTTGGGGAGAGCTGGTTTTCCTGTGATATAAATTATGCCATTACCAACTCTCTTCAGAGATGTTACCTTGATTTAAACTCAAAAGGGGGAAAAAAAAACCCTGACAAGAAAGCCATCTCCCATCCAGCTTGAGAGAAAGCCCACGTGAAACGCTACGCTGTGACCTGGGGAAAAGCAAACACTGCAAACGCAGCCAAGCACCGCACATACATCCCCGAAGAGGAGCGAAACTTGAGCAAACAGCCCTGAGGGGCGAGGAGGC